TCGGTAAAACCTTTCTTTTTTTTTACCCCTCTTCTCCCGGATTATTGTTTAGACGGTCTCGCTATTTTCGATCCTAGCCCGTTTCGTTCCAATGCTGTCTTGTGCGAATGTGCTATCGAAATCCATTTGATACTCTTTTAGAAACCCGGCCGAGCGCACTGTGTACCGAGCATATAGATAAACCGTTGGGATTTATATGTTTTCGAATGAGCTGTCAGCAGAGGGTTGACGCAAGAGTATACCTGCATTGGGACACATGCAAGACGGAAAATGAAATAGCATAATCCATCACCGGATTGAGGTACAGTTTAAACGCACAGCGGACGAACGATCTTAAATTAACGCCGTTCGACGGTCAGGTCGGTTCGTGGGAAAATCGCATCTTGTGGAAATAATAATTATTATTTTATTTGTCTGCCATCGAAGAAACGGCAACCGTGATCGTTGCTGTCAGAGCACTGTCACCGTCAGATCCGCTGAGTTGCTATTATTTAATATAATACCATATAATATAATATAATATAATACCATACTAGCTGTCGTCAGAAAAAAGTAACTATTACTGAACAGACAGCGAAAACTATAATGCAGAAGCTACATACTCGTACAATCTGACCGAGTTTTATAACTTAAGAACTTTGTACGATTTCTATAATTGTAACATTTTTGTAATTTAGTAAAGTTGTTGTAACTTTGTTTCTAGTCCAGCGTTGTCGAATGTTAGTAGTGGTTTGTTAATATAAAAAAAGAATGAATACATAAATTTAAAAAAAAAAAGGTTTAGCCAATTTCGATTTAAAAAAACTACTATACATTTCCCAATCACTTTACTCGTTTTATAAAATATTATAATAATTTATTATAGCTAGCCGATATGTGACAAGTTGCAGTTTACATGTTAAATGCACTAGAAATTGTAGGTTTGATCCAGATCTATAAAATCGCGGGTACAACGAATGGTTTTCACTTGGAGTGAATAAGTTGAGAGTTATAAAACAGTCCACAGAAAGTTGGATGAACCCAATTAATTGAACAAGATGTAGCTGTAACACGTTAAACAGAGGATATAATTAGCACACCCATAAAAGTCTCATGAACAAAACAGATACTATATTTTATAAGAATGTTAGAAAATTCGACCAAGAACAAACGGTTTCCAACATACCATTCAATCTAGCCGAATGTCTTAATCAGTGAATCATCAAATGCCTACAGTAGATACTAAAATGTATCAAAGCAACCAATGTCAACTAAATGATTTAAAAAACAAACTGCACTTTATAAAACACCCCCTTAAGTCCATATCCAAAAGTTAACTTTTAACTCAATTCTGGGCATGACCTTCGTTTATACATTTTTATTTATTGCGACAAATAATTAGTTAGTAAAATTTTCAAATAGTTGACCATACATTTTCCGTCTATTTAAAAAAAAAAAATTCTGATCCAAACAAATTATTTCTTACGTCTTACATAATAGTGGACGTAATCTGAAAATGTGATATGTCTTCATCAAAACAAATTTAAAACAATTTTATTTTTAAACAAAGCCATCTTTCGTCTAACACATTACCTCATAAACAATTTTTAATAAATTATAACACTGTAACAAATCACAATATATATATAAATATATTATTTTATCTTTGAAATTAAAAAAAAATGTTCTAATAACGCTCAACTCTGTCTGGGAAACATAATATTATTGCGGGGGACAAGTTTTTCGATTTTTATGCAATGGATATAATACAAATGTAAATAGTTTTTGACAATCTTTTCTTGTGGAATTTTGGAGCCGGCCGCACGGATCGCGTTTAAGGTGCACCGGATTGGACGATTTCGTTTATTTATTAAAAAACAATCTTCCGCCTGTTCGTCTTTCGCAAGAAAAACAATAAAAAATATATAAAACGCGTTTTTTTACGGCACTGTAGCCGACCAATTTCGAACTCAAAAATATAACAGTTCTCGTTCGCCCCACGGTATCAAAATAAACTCCATAATATCACATATATTTGTATAGTTCCGTTGGCGGGGGGGGGGGAGTGTGATTTGATTAAATTCTTATACAGTGTGTGTGTGTGTTTTTTTTTTGGGGATTTTTTCCAAAATTCCGATTTCTGTTGCAATAATATATCAAAGAGATAATATTATATATGTATATAAAACAAAACTGTACACATATCAGCTACGGTATAATATGTGTGTACACGCGGACAGAGTTGAATTATTAAAATAAACACACGATAATACAAGCGCCGGTGCATAATTCCTGTTAAATATTTAATCTGGTACGTGCAACAACGGTAATTATTCGGCTAAACATTGCAACCCATCATAATAATATTATAATATACAGCCAAAATCCAAATACACTTTTTAATATTACCAGACCTCCGGGGCAACACGGATTGGATTATAATGCTAACAATACACACACACACACACATGTATTATGCAGATTATAATAACATTATTAGTAGGCCTCAGCAGGTTGTATGTAATTATTAACGTGTCATGTTCTTGACCTAGGTCAATATAATATAATATTTATAATATTGTCTACCGCGACGTCATTGCAGAGGTTGGAAAACATTGTTTGATAAGATAAAATACCAAAACGTAAGGTTCACGAATTAGTATTAAGACTAAAGAGGACGTTATACCCTTTAAAAATAATATTTCTGTTGATAAGATTCTGTTTTAACGAAATAGACTTCTTCTCTCCTCCTCAACTAGTAAAATTGTAGATGTTTTTTTTATTATTCATAACAACTATAATTTGAGAACTATTGAAAAAAAAATGTCCCATTGACTTTTATTAGTTCAAAGAAATTGTAATTTTTACACATAACACAGTTTCTTGGATAATACAAAGACATTAAGACGATTCGGGTCCAGTTGGTTGGTTCAATTTTGAATAAACGAATATAAATTAAATTTAAAACAAGACAACATTTCTTACCACCTTTCTAGCGTTCATTAATAAAACAAATTTTGTTTACTCGGTAAAAGCTTATCACAAACAAACTCAAACACTTTTGGACCCGTTTGTCGCAGAATTATTATTTATTATTTAAATTGAATTGTATTTTTTTTTCGAGAACTTTTCAAGAGTATTTAAAACACAGTTCATTCGGTTATTTTTTCAAGTGTAACTTCGCACAAGTATTAATAGGAGATAAGTGATTTTTTCTTTGACCGAAAATCTGTTAACTTTATACGGCAAAGAAGTATTATTCGCCTCTTTGGCCGAAGCTATTGCACGTTATTCACGAACCGCGCACACCGCCATATTGTCATGTTATGATAATATTATAATAAAAATAATAATATAAATACAAAATCCTTAACTTTTTATTAAATTTTACAACGCGCGTCATCCGACAGTACCTCGCGCTGATATATTACATTACATAATATCGGTTAGGTATACCTTATGTATAAAATGAATATTATATAATATTGTATACTTGGTTGTAAATTAAAAAATAACTACACGAAAACAAAATAATAATATAATATATTGCCCGCAGATTAAGCAGCTACATCGGTTGACAACAGTCTGAATTTGTTCTTATATTTTTTTTTTTTTACTATCGTCGCTCGGCGCTCGCATCCTACTTGAAATATTTATAAAAGTATTTTTTTTAAGTTTAAAATAAAACAATAATACTCTTGACACAAAACGGAAAAATGCGCACGTTAATAGATTTTTACCGACTTAAGTTGTTTATGCAACACGTTTTTTTTTTAATCGCTTCCGTTAGTTGTAGCTTGTAATAGTTATTTTGATAATTCTGAAAACTATTCACACAACAAACAGTCTAAAAGTTGCAAACACAATACTGTTAATATTAAAAAGTACACATGAAATCAATGATTCAAAAATGAATCATGTTTTCTATCTAAAAAAAAAAGATTATTAATTGTTAAATGGCAATTCTACTTAAATTTTATAGAAAACAAAATACTCAGAAACGACATAATACCGACTATGAAATTTTATAAAAACCTGATATAGTTAAATTTTGGATAACTAGTATTTAAATACAAAAATAATAATACACAAGGACCCAAAACTTAATACTCGATTTGAATGATTTCGATTCAAATGCCTGGTATTAAGTCAACCAGGTAGAAGTGGATAAACTGCAATCAAATAAGGTAAATGCAACTGAACAAGTTTACACATAACCACCCATTTCTCAAAACATTTATTTAACGTTTCAACACTTTAGCATCAGGTGGTTGATATAATCTAATACTTATAATTACTACATGTGGCATTTAGAGGTCGCCCTTGCCCTATTAATTCGCAGTTATTCTTCATCCTAATACGACATCCGGTTGCCGCTATGTTAACCATATATTTAGTTAGACATAAGTGTTCTTTTTAAGAAACCTTACGGGGAGACAGCGATTGGCTTTAATGCCTGTTTGAGCTAATACAAAAATGGAAATAAGGTGTTCTTTGAAATTGCGACACCAATTTTACTTGTACTTTTTAGTTGCAACCATCTATTTATTAACGAATTCCGTTGGCATGGCAAAAATGCGGTTTAGTGTTTTAAGAAACTAATTGTTTTGTCTTATATATATTATATCGCTTTAAAGTACTTTTAAATTTTAATTCAAATTGAAAACTAGCTGAGTGTTATGCTTTTAGTGTAGCATTCCCACTCACCAACATTATTTTTTAATACAAAGGTATATACGAGAATATAGGGTCTCTATTGGAATTATGATACTGAAAATTGTTATTTTAATTTATATATTATAACAATAGTCCCAACTTTCAAAGTGATAATATATATTATATATATATTTCCACCAGGCATTAACCCAACCACCCCTACAATATTATGTTACGATAGCAATACTTAGACATGCTTGGACTGGGACTAAGTGTTTATAGTATTCAGCAACAATTTAAAAATAACTATCTATCTATGAACGTATTATGTTATGCTACAATATACTGGGAAATCTTGTGTTTACCGTTTCGCGGGCGTCGACGGACCGTCAAAACCTCCACTTTGGCCGTCGGCAGACTATCCTCTTTTTAAAAATTTTTTTTTTCTAACTGTCCGCTCCGAAACCGTGAGTCGTTTTTGGGGGAGGGTTTTTTTTTTTGAAAAATGATATCGGTGCGATTCACAGACGATCCTCTGGCGAATGGGGCGCGTGCGGACCTGACCGCTTTCGGGTGTCGACTGACTGTGCCGGCCGCGTGGTTCCCGCCAATTTCCCACGAGCACCGCCGCCTCGTACTTTGGCGCCGCCCAAAAACGGCGCACACTGACGCCCCCCCCGCGGAGACACCATGCCCCTCGTGTCCGGTATACCCCGAGACGTGTCCCCCTCGCCAAACACGACCCCCTCACTCGGGCCAAGATGTTCTCCCGATTGGCCATAAGACACCGGCCGGCAGCCCCCCGCCACTGTGGTCCGTTACATTGATGTTGTATAACATTGTATTATGTTGTTATAATAATAATTCACTTCATAGCATTAGACTGTTACACCCTGGTGTTGCCCCGTGGCCCGAAGATTTTAGTCTTAAGTACGTACTCAGCAGAGGACCTAAGTTCAGGTCATAATTGAAATATACAAGTCTACATGTACACAGTAAAATATATAGTAATAGTAAAATAATTGATATGCCCTTACGCTGTAATTATTTTATTTCTAAAGATAACAATTGGAGACAATGCGCGATAGCCTGTATATTTCAACCATGGTTCAGGCCGAGAAATTACACACATCCTCAGGGCCAGATAAAAATATGAACTGGGGAATAAACGGGTTCTGTTCTGGAAAAAATGATTAGAAAATCCAGTGAAAACATATAGCATTAGGTATAGCATTAGGCCAGGAATACATTTTCTTTAAAGTAATTTGAGTGCGCTTTAGTTAATCGACAATAATATTGAAGCGACGTGTAAATTATTTGTTATTATTTTTTTTTTATAACCTTGTTACATAATCGAATGGCGGTCAACATACAGAATAATAATATTATGTTGGGGAACAGAACATAGAGAAGACCGGTCAGTTTAAAAGCCATCTGCACGGCTATGATGTGCCATAACGACACAAATATATACTGTGCAAACATCATTGTACAATCATTGTACTCAAAATATTCTATTCTCTTCACGTAACGGAGTTATAGGCAAAAATCTACGGATGAGAAAAATATATATTCAACTGAAAGTTTTTAGACGAAAAGTAAAACTCTTTAACGGCCGATTCGTTTGGGATTCCGAACGCAGCACTCCGGCAGACGACGGTTTTCCAGATTCACTTGGTTTTTTATTTTTTCCTTCCCGTGCAAACTTTGTCACATAGGTAGAAGAAAAGTTTGTCTACAAAGGCCGCCGACCGATCGATTAATTACCAAGATAACGCCTTATATACAACCTCTTATATATTTTGTAGTTTCTTTTCTTTTTTAGATTTAATTATTATTCTTTACACTCTTTGAGCGTCAAATTATGACGCAAAGCTATAAAAAAGCTTTTTTTTTTAATGGTCAAACAAAGCTTTTCGAGTGGAAACGTTATAATCTTTGCACACCCATCATCGATGAGATATCTCATATAACAGACTGTACAAAATGCACTCTGCAAGAAATAGGCGGGGAAGGTCCGCAAAATTGTTTTTAACGTCACACCGAAATCCACAAGATGTGTATGTAGTCTATGTACATCCTACATCATCGTGTCATTATAACGTTAAAATTATCTAATGTCTATTTTCATTAAAGTTTATTTCCTTATCTTATTGAATTCATTTTGAGCAGAACATATGTTTAACTGTATAAATGTTTTAAAGCTTGATCGTGGATCAAACTAATATTTAATGTACTCAATATACGAATATTGTAAAAAAAATTTAATCAGTATTTACTTATTTAAATTATATAGAAACATTTCATACTACATGACAATACTTTAACACTATCACAAAAACGTTATCGAACAATGAATTTCTGGACAAAAACTGTTTTGATAATATTCTAAAAATTGTAAAAACAATTAAGAAAAAATATTGATAACATCCCATTAATTATGTCATTTCTTTAAAAAAAATCCTACTATTATTGAAATTTATGAAGTGTTTGGTAAATAATTGTATTAGACAAATAATTGTTTCCAATGACGATTATGAAAGAAAATGTTATGTTATCGATTGATAATAAATTTTGTCACATTGTTGCAGACTGCGTTGCAGTATTTCATTGACCTTGAAATAAAAAAATTATACAAGTTTTATAATAAGTTGTGCATAATGTAACAACTTTTAACGTTGATGAATGATGTGTTGCGACTTAACAAGAGTCAATAATTAATAATTAATAGATCATTAACATTCAAAACGAACAAGTAGTCTCACTTATTATTATTATTATTATAATTTTTTTACTAATATCTATTATATATAAAGTAATGAAATACGATGAAAAGTAATTAACACGATGTAAGTAAATTAATTATCATAATAAATTAAACATACAATATCTTTATTCTAAACCGCTGGACCGTTTCCTTTATGTAGTAAATATAAATTAATACATATAATTTAATCAAATATATTTAATACAATCGGAACAATTATTTATTTTTCCAGCAACAACATTTGTTTTCAAATTTTAGTAGTTAAAAAAAAAAGTATTTTAACTGTTACCAAAACAATCTAAGTATAACATTTTTTAAATAATATATTAAATTTTTTAATGTATTATTTAGAGTGCGATTATCAACATCTTTTTATGAATATTAAAAATGATTTAACTAGATATTAAAGGGTTTATGCAAATTGGAAAAATCGTACTCGGGCTAATAAGTTAAATGTCAAAGCTTTAAGATCAATACAAATTTTTTTTAACTAAGGTCGGGCCTATTTTAGTACATTTTGTATAATATTTTACTAAATCGCGAATTACGTTAGATAAATAGAGACTTTCAAAAATACTAGATTAACTTGTGTAATTAGCTAATAGTTAGTTAAACTAGAATTTTTTTAAGACAGTAAAAGAATCCAGAAAAACTAGTTCTTTGTCATCCTGACGGAAATTTGTATAGTATAACATGTCAGTCTTAATAATTAACTATGTGAAACTATTTTGAGATTAACCTCGTTCATTTTTTACTCGTTTTCTTTCATAATATTTATATAGGTTGTAATGTTGTATAAATGGTGTCAACAAGTTTTGGTTTAAAAAATATCTACACTAACCCTACTGCAGAATTTTTATTGATACACGGCGTTGATAGACGTTGAACACAAGAGAAAAACTTACCTCCTCTCATCATTTGGAAAATTTGAACTTAAGGCGTTACTCTGTGCTAATAATTTTTAAAACCTTCAGCCCTCTTGCTCAATCAGTATTTTTTTTTGAAATTGTGAAATAAATACTCGTTTTGTGACAATTAAAAAAATATATAATAATTGTTTACAAAATATCAATTTGTAAATTACAATTGATTTTTAGTAACTAGCGAGTACAAAACCTATATACATACATAATATATATACATATAATTATAAGTAACTATAACTACAATATAAATATTTATTTAAAAAAAATGTATTTTCTATTGATTACAATATACTTAATCGAAATTTGGCGGCGGGTAGCACATTATTTGAACTTAACTGTTCAGTTTTTCCCGCAAAAATATTCGGCACCTTTCTGACAACGCTGCACAGGAAGGGTCGACTCGGGTTAAACTTGTCGTTGTGTTGGCACTACTGGGATTTGGGTTTGATTTTGTACGCTCTCTTATAGAATCTCAAAAACAAGAACAGAAACAATATAATGTCGACCGAGATGTAAATCAAAAATACTTTTGGATAGTTGCAGTCGCGCACGCACAGCCACATAAACATACCGATGTCGATCAAGAATTGCACCTGAAAACCAAACGCCGTCAAGGTTATCTTGGGAACAAGTAAGTATTTTTAACAAATCACACTAATATATTAAATAGTACAACTCACGATTTGCATGCGAGTCACATATTTTTTCCACCACAATAACTTTTTCGTTTGTGGTCCTAATGCCGCTATGAAGTAATAACTGTACATGACGGTGTGGACGAAAGAGTTGATGACTCCGCCTATCATAAACTGTTCGCCTGCGAAAAGTTATCATTAAAATATATAATGCATGTGTACTCATGTGTTTTTCTCGATTTTGATGGGGAATGGGTAATTGTTTTAAAATGTTTGGCCTTATAAAGTACCTTCCCAGGTATGATATCTGATCAATAGAGCTGCTACACGAAGAAATCGGTTCAGCGGTTTACGAGATATCGTGGGTCCAGACAAAAAAATAAAATAAAAACATCATTGTAAAAACAATACTTTCTCAGCTCCGCACCGAAGCTAAAAGAATAATAATAATAAAAAAAGTAACGTTATTTCATTGCCAAGCGAATACAAAAAAATATTAATTTTTTTTTTAACAACAATAGCACACAAGGTAAATGTGGTTGGCCTCGCCTCCCTCGTTAAACCACAATGTTTACAGCCTCGGGCTGTTTATTTCGTTTATTATTAAAAGTCATATTTAAAAAAGGGTTTTTGGGGGTAAAAACTTTGGGAGAGCTTAAAACTATTCCAATGCCTGGGGAGGGAGGTACAATAATTTTACAACAACCTACCACTCCCAGAAAAGTCCTGCGTGTGTCAACATTTACACGTTATTGCAGTTTGAGGACTTGCCGTTAAACTAAACATTTTTTGTCCTTGCCAGTTTTTTTAGCAGATAATTGTTTAGTTTTGGCATGCTGATATTTACCTTTTATAAATCTTAGGTAGGCCCAACAGGTGATGACCATATTAGTGTGGTGGTAAACATGTAAAAATGACACGTGAGCTTGCTTTTTCCTGAGAACGAAAAACACCTGTAAACAAATATTGTCGGTTTACGTTTGACAAACATTACCGTCATTTTCGTTGGTAATTTCGTTGCTTTATTATTTTGTACTAAATTATAATTTTATATTACAAGTCCACAAGGCAATTCCTTATTGCAATAATTGTGCACAAATACAAATTAACTTTTTCTCGTTAAAACGTTACACAATAACACCTTGGAACAAACAACTTGCGAATACTTACGGTGTCCAGTAAATCCATTATTTTTGATATAAAGAAATACCACGCTGCTTTGTCAAGCTAAAAAGAGTACAATAAAAATTGCGTTATTAATAAATTCTAAGCAAGTTTTAAAAAAAACCGTATACAATAACTCAAGTGTCTACATGAAGGAAAACGAGAGAGGTAGCACAATGTGTACACAAAATAGAAATAATCTAATGCCGGTTTGCATTATTTTTACACTGACCATTATTATTAATGGTTAATGTTAATAATTAATAACTATTTTTAATGTTTGAGTTATCTCATTAAACTCACTTCGTTGGTGAGAACCCGATTGTCGATTCTTGGGATAGGATGACAAAAATGTTTGAATTGATATTGTACCGCTCCTGGTGTGAGGAAAACCTGTAAATCGTTTATAAATATCTAAACTATAGTCCAATTAGATCAAAATAATAACGTACATTATGACAAACTCTACAAACAGGTTAATTTTTTAATGTCTAATTCATTATAGTACACTTACCAACGAAGTCAAGTATCCGTTGAACAACGTTTGGACCAGATTATACAAGAGCATCGCGTATTTAACGTTGTACGGTGCTCGATTTTCCATCATTTTCGGACCGACTTTCAAAACGAATAATAAATAAACAGCTACCGTCGAAAATACCGGCCACGGTGTGTTCATAAACATCCACGAGTCGACTACTTCATCTAGAACGGTTTGATGTACATCACAATGTGACTAAACTTAGTTAAGTATAAGTCGTCCGATCGGACAATTAAATTTCATCGAAATCGCTAGAGTGGGCAAACACCTGGTACTATGTGGTTTTTCTTTTGTAACTAAAAAAGTTTGGTATTAACTCATAAATATTGGTATTATTGGGTTAATGCACTTAAACAATAAACAACTGGGTGGAATTTTTTGTTTAAAAAAATCCCTGTTTTTCCTACTCTGAAAAATAACAAATTCCTACAACGAAGAACAGCTCTAAAGAATTGCTTTTTACTATAAGTGACGTAATAAAATAATATAATCAGTTTTATGAAATTGTATTTTTAAGTTATGTAAAACCCCTGTAGAAACAAGTTAATTATTAATTACTGTTTATAAACAGATATTTCCTAATTTATGTTAACGGCACGACTAGAGAACTAGTTTAATTTTAGACAGAACTGGGGTCTGGTTTCAATTTCTATTAAACATATACTTTTTCAAAACTGAGAAAAGCGCTTAGTCTACTATTTATAATTTGTAATATACCTAAAAGAGAGTTGAGTAAATTAAAAAAGTACACATATTTCTAATTCTAAGCCGGACCAATTTAATTTTAGGTTTCAGGCATTTTTACGATTAATGTTAATGTGTAATGGAAATTTCCAAAAACAGTACCTATGCGACTGAGTTTATAGACTTTATGAGATGAAAAAGAAATAGGTTTAAACATTTTAATTTTAATTACTACTTACCAGCAACTAATTCGTTTTTCAATAGGTCTAGTAACTTATGTTGCGTTTCGGTGAAAAAATCAAAACTTATTTGAGTATCGTTTGTCATTTTGGCCGTCATTCCAGCGGTTTGTTTTGATATGAAAATATAATATATACTAGGAAAAAAAATTAAATAAAAAATCTTATCATGATGATTGTGAACGGATTTGATTAATCAATTAAATAAGTTTAATGCATAAAAATGACTTTAGTCACAGACATTTTTTTTTTTGAAACTACATTACGTTTTATAGATACAAGTTGAGATTAATACCTTAGTTAATTTAAACGTTTTTTTTTATTATATAAAAATAAATTGCTTAATTGGAAAATCAAACACAAGTTAACACAAATTCGTTATTGTTAATAAAAAATAAAAAATCATAAGCCTTGCAAAAAATAACGTATCGTTTGTTTTCGATTAATACCTATGTCTTTCGCCGATCAGATTACATTTAAAAGTGGACTGATTACTAGTGTTAAAGACCTGTATAAGAATCACAACGAGCAATTATAATATGATATGATATAGTTTTACTCGGCGACCTCCCTCCAATTTTAATAAGCCGTAACGGCTCTACTAATTATTTTGTATGGAAATGTTTACTGAGCTTAAATATTATTATTATACGGGGTGTAACATATAGGCTTATTAATGGCAAACAATATTTGAAAATCTCTTTTTTTTTTTAATACATCATTATTCCTTTTATAATCATAAGAATAATTATAATTTATTTATAAAATATAGTTTATAAAACGGATGATTCTTTTAACGCCCTACACTAGTTTACTCTTAAAATAATAATTTCAATTTTGTAGGGTTTCTTTTTAAAAACATTCTGATTTAAGTTATATTTCTATATGAGACCATATTCAAGTTTTTATCTTTTCTAGTATTTTCTAGAGCTTCATCAACTTTTGCAACTTAAAAGGTAACGAATGTACTTTATTAACTTTTAAAATTAAGAATAACTTGCTGAAAATTTTGGATGGTCGATAACCAGTTTTAAATAAATAATTTTAAAGTTATTTAAGTTTAAAATTTAGGACGGGAGAAGGGCGGAGAGTAGAGTTATTTTTAAGATAAATAAAAATGTTTCAAAAATGAATCACTACAAAAATGCAATTATTTTAAGAGTAAACTAGTGTAGGGAGTTAATAAGATCACCCGATACACATATATGCATACTTTGGTATGTATCCGGTATGTATATGCACTGTTTTGCCCTTTCTAACCTATTGCATCCTAGCCTTGTTTAACTCGGTAATCGCAGTTTTACATAATAAGATGTTTGCTTTTTATTATAAAATTAAAATTTGCAATTTAAAACTAAACAATAAGATAGAAATAGCTAGCATAAATAATTATTTTAAGTTATAATATTCAGGCTATTAAAAAAAAAATAATAATAACATATACTACGGATTGTACATCAATAAGAACTTGAACAAAAATGGAGATTTAAAAAAAAAATATTTTAAAATCTGGAATCGAAAATATGGACAGCAATATTATATTTTAAAAGTTATATCTATATTTTAGATTTGTAAGTCCGGTTTTCCTAAATGAATTACCCCCCATTTCTGTCTTATAACCAAAGACAATTTCTGCATATGACACCAACGATATAATACTTTATGGTAAGCCACATGCCGTATTATTAAATATAATAAAACTAAGAGGCGCAATCAAAGAGGGCATGAGGATGAGTGAAAAATGTTCTGAGTAAAAATATGTTATTGAAGTTTGGAAGTAGATAAACTAACTGATTATTACATTTTATTTTAAGAGATTTTTTTGTTATTTATTCAGAACCAATGAGGGGGAACTGTTGGTCTCATGACTTCCCCTAATTTTAAGAGTGTAACATATTGCGCTTCTGAGTTTAAGCTGATACATGCATTTTTTTATTACCCTTCCTCAATAACCATCTTGTGTGCGTCATTAACTTTAATGGCACCTCGGATTGTTTTGAAGGGTCTAAATTACCCACGCTTTACCATCCTCTATTTGTGCCTTTGCGAAAGTGTAAGTAATAGTTATACCCCTTCTGGCCTGGTCTCGAACCCACAGCCTTTCAGCAGTTTCGGCAATCTAATTCTATCCCAAAAGCTGAGCTACTGCATTTTTTAGCTAAAAGAAACACACAAACAGTTATTAATTGTTATACAACTACTATTGATGTCGATTATGTGGCGTCCTTGTAGTTATCCAAGAACTAGTCAGCCTACCGTCATAAAATATTGTACATATCCTTTCGTTTGTTATAGTCAAGATCTTATACTATACCTATGCAAAAATATAGTGTAATAAAATAATAAAAAATTATAATATTATACATTTAAAAAATATGCATAAATAGATGTATTCTGTATTACTGTATATCCATAAATTATATTAATAGTACAGGCCTAAGCAGTTTAATTATATACAACTCATATGAATAAATAAAACCGGTTTAAGAAGTTTCACATAATATGTAAAAAAAATATACGTTGAATAATAATAATAAGTAAGTTGGTTGAAAATTTTACGCTCATAACATAGTTATAAATAATCCTTTAGATTTAATACATTTTATTTGATTTGATTAAGTGTATACAAACCCGTTTCAACTTACATTTTGCAGGTTAGATTAGATCGATAACGAACAAGCCGATTATCTAAATTGTGGTGACACTTAATAAAAATTGTGTTAGTTTTATAACTAGTATGACGATAATGTTTTAAAAATGTATGCTAGATGTACCTACCCGTTTTATGTAACATTTCAGAATGTCTCATTACCAGGTCTTGACAGATAAGTCAATAGATTTTTCGTGTAAACTCATGCTAATTTTATTGCTTATATTGTAAAACATTACCAGTCTTTAATGGCTAATGGTGCTATAACTTTTTTTTTATTATTGTAAAATCTGTATAAATGTAGACTTAAATCATAATATGCACAACAAAGCCGTTTTATTTTATTTTGCATTATAGTGTGTGTCTGAAAAACGAGAATAAACTTTTTTTATGACGTTATGTTAAATGCATAACATATTGTATAGCGTGTCCAAAAAGCACAGAGATCACTCCTCCCTAAAATATGAAGGAAGGGTAATGTTTTCATAATATTATAGTGTTATGATTTAAATATATTTCTTAGAGAAGGGATCACTTTGTCTTTGTAAGTAGGGTTTAGGTACGATTTAACATCGTAATGTTTTATCATTTTAGCTTCGTATCGAAACTAAAAGTTTGACAAAAAAACAATTTGTCTTTTAGTTTAGCCTATGACTTTAATATTGTTAAACTATACTTCAATTTTAATCTAACAAAAAAAAAACGACCAGGACTATCATAAACTACAGGATTATCCATTTAACGTAGGACACTTATTTTATGGGATATGTGTACAGTTTTATAGTTTTTCTTTTTGAAAATATTTTTATTTATGTTTTTGTACAAAATTACCAAATATTTACCTTTTTTTAGTATTTTTTACAGCGCTGTCAACTTTTGAAACTTAAATGGGAACACATGAACATGACTGTCTTTTCAAAATAAGAACAATATGCTATAATGTTCAACTGGTCGACAATCAGTTTTGACTTAGTAGGGGGTTTAAGTTAGTAGAGTTTAAAATTTAAGATAGAAGTTAAAGTGCGCGCTGAGGAAAATACCTAAATCTTTATTTCAGCCTTCCTGCCGTTTTCTTTAACTTTAAATTATAAATTATTTATTTCCCGAGAAAACGAGTGTCCAACGTTAAACGGAACACGATGAAATATATTATTATTAATGCAAATTGATTATTCCATAATGGACATAGTTGAACTGCTGCAAGTATTTATGAAATTTACATTGAATCAAAAGAATGTGTAAACATTATGAAAGACTGTCAAACGGGTCCATGTGGAAAATTACCGCCTGCTATTACCACCTGTACTAAATGCCCAATGGCTTAAACCGACCTTGCCTATCAAAAAGATAACTGATATGCGACAATAATTAATAAAAAGCAATTACAAATCTAATAATTCTATTTAAATGTTCACTACGACTAGTTCAGTTGTTTTGGCACAACGTATTGACATGATTTATTAGTTTTGTTGACTCTCAAAGGCCATCGACTTAAACATATAGGTAAGACTAGGTAGTAGGTACTATATACAATGAAATAGTTTGTGAACGGTTTAATAATTGACTAGTTTTTATCTACAGAAGTGTAGGCATTGCGATAACTCTCTTAGGTAAAATTGAGATTTACAGAAAAATCTAAGGTTGACTTTCAATGATTTCTTTTCTTTTAACGTTGAAAAATAAAAAATTATTACTTCTATTTCTATATTATATATTTATTTTTAATTATTAAAAAAAAAAATAAAAACTACTGATTAATTAGGTATTTAGCCAAAAATATTTCAATCAACCGAGGAGATGTCGTTGCAATGGGTATATTATGTAAGTATAATATGATTGATTATATTTTAATGTCAGCTTGTTCGTTGAATGCATAATATGAAACCGTTTCTATAGAGCTGAACTATATTTCATTCCTTTTGTATATAATAATAATCTTATTACAATGGGTTACAACGACTTAATGCGTTCAATGCACGTGCCAATTAACGACGACGGTTAAAATATTTTAATTGACCAAATCCGATTTGTTCGTTCGATTCAAATGATTTGACGGCTTTTAAGCGTTTAACATTTTTTTTTCTTCAATATCTATAAGTAAAATAATTTTGTTCCAGCAGACGCCCGTCAAAAGAAAATCAATAGAAAAAGCACGATTATTGCATTTTTTTTTTGCGCCCTGTATTTAATATAATAACTGAAATGAATAATTCCTGCACAAGTACACACACTCTATAACATATTTTACAGAGCGCAATGCGAATCAAAGTGGCAGCGGTGCGGTTTACCGACGCTTTGTACAATAATAAAATAATATTATTTAAATGGTAGTGTACAATGATTTCTCGGTCGATCACAAGTGCCCTTTATTCATTTTTTATAAATATTATACTTGAGACATATTTTAATGGACGGCCTAGGGTGCAATAAAAGTGTCTCCGACTGGTTTTTAAATGTAAATATAATAATATTATTTACCTACTGGTTAATATTATGTACACGGACATGTACATTGTACGTATTACACCTTTTATTTACCTGTATAATTCATTATAGCACCAGCCATAAGGCACTACCTGTATTACATAGTGTGTCCGTTTTGCGGTCAGCTCCCACAGTCTGACATGTTGGTGCGGTTATCCTCGCTACTAAAAGCTACCGCATAGCCGGCACTTAACCTAAGGTACAGGTATGTTAATTATTTGCACAGGTAACTTCAGGCGACCGTCTTTGGATATTTATCATAATCACTATAGAAAAAAAACCATTTCGGTTCGCAATTTTTATTCTGTGAACTTCATATACATTTGACGAATAGGGACACATGTCCTTAAATATGAATCTA